AGCAGAGGTCCATCAGTGGCTATTAGCCACAAGGTATAGCTAGGGGCTCAGGGGCAAGTGATGCTCTGTCTTCTTGGTGCTTGGGGGGGGGTCAACAGTGGGAGGGCTTCTAATGTCCTGGCCCCACTGCTGGACCTCCTGATGGCACTGGTATTTCTGGCCACTGTGTGACACAGAGTGTTGGACTGGATGGGCCTTTGGCCTGATCCAACATTGGCGTCTCTGATGTTCTGATGTTCTGATGAGCTGTCCTTGAAAAAGAGCAGTTTCTGTCAGAGCTCTCTCAGCCCCACCGACCTCACAGGGTGTCTGTCGTGGGGAGGGGAAGGGAAAGGAGTTTATAAGCTGCTCCAAGACTCCCTTGGGTAGTGAAGGGCGGGGGATAAATCCAATCTCCTCCTCCTCCTCCTCCTCCTCCTCCTCCTCCTCCTTCTTCTTTCCGACCCCCAAATCCAGGGAATTAGGTCTGTGATGGACAGCAAATGTTTAACTGCGAGGGTTCTATAGATAGCAGAACAATGGGGCCCGCTCATGGGCCGTGTACCCAAGCATTTGATCACAGGAATGAGTAAACCGACCTAGCCCTAGGCAACGCTCCCTCTAATCTGTGGAGTCTTGTGCGCAAAAATTCTACTTTGTGAGCTACTGGCATTGAAGTTGGGAGCAAGCGATTTAGCTGTGCATCAAGTAGTTTGCTCTGGAGCCCTCCTTCCTGAGCTGAGACATAAATGTGTGAGCTAGAGGCTAAAAAACTGTGAGCTAGCTCACACTAACTCAGTTTAGAGGGAACGCTGGCCCTAGGTCAGTGGGATGAGAGCATTGTAAGGAAGGCATCGCCAGGGTCCCTCGGGTTTGAACCCGCAGGCTTGGGACTACCCAGGCTAGGCGAACTACCCAAGTTGGTGTGTGTGCCAGCCTCAAAGCTGCTCTTGGGCACGGGAGGGGGGGAAATTGGGTATGCACCCTCTTGCAATAACATCCATATCGCAAGATGTCACAGTCCCACTGTACACTGCATGGGTCTGGCCGCAGCTGGAGTATTGTGTGTGCAGTTCTGGAGCCCTGACTTCAAAAAGGAGGTGGACAGAATGGGGCGGGTGCAGAGGAGAGCGACAAGGATGATCGGGGGCCTGGAGACCAAGCCCTGTGAGGAAAGGCTGAGGGACTTGGGGATGTTTAGTCTGGAGAAGAGGAGGTCGAGGGGGGACATGGTTGCTCTCTTGAAGGATTTGAAGGGCTGTCCCTTAGAGGAGGAGGGCAGGGAGCTGTTTCTGTTGGCAGCAGAGGAGAGGACTTGTAAGAATGGGTTTAAATTAAGTGCGAGAAGGTACCGGCTGGATATAAGGACAAACTTTTTGACAGTCATTGTGCAACAGTGGAATCAGCTGCCCGGGGAGGTGGTGAGCTCCCCTTCACTGACAGCTTTCAAGAAGAGGCTGGACGAATATTTGCCAGAGATGCTTTAGGCTGATCCTGCATTGAGCAGGGGGGTTGGACTAGATGGCCTCTAGGGACCCTTCCAACTCTGTGATTCCATGACTCACCAGCCCCTAGGATCGCCAGGCTGTATGGAGCCTCTAGATTGGCCAGATTTAGACTTAGTGACTTGTGAATCTTGGTCATCTGGCTCAGTGCTGAGAAGCATCTTCTGCCGGCCCTCTGACCAGCTCCTAGCTCATCTCGCTCAGGGTGGCCATGCCCGGATCTTGATCACATGCTTGCTTGCTACCTAAAGAGAAAGGGAAGGTGCCGTATCGGCAGGGTGTTCTGTGGAATCATCACATAAAAAGCTCTGGGAGCCCATTTGGTGTGGTGGTCAGGAGCGCCGACTCTAATCTGGGAGAACCGGGTTTGATTCCCCGCTCCTCCGCATGCAGCTGCTGGTGGGATCTTGGGTCAGTCACAAGTTTTCTCAGAGCTGTTCTCTCAAGAGCCAGTTTGGTGTAGTGGTTAAGTGCGCGGACGCTAATCTGGGAGAACCAGGTTTGATTCCCCACTCCTCCAGATCCAGCTGCTGGTTTGACCTTGGGTCAGTCATAAGTTTTCTCAGAGCTGTTCTCTCAAGAGCAGTGCTCGAAAAGAGCTCTCTCAGCCACAGCTACCTCCCAGGGTGTCTGTTGTGGGGAGGGGAAGGGAAAGGAGTTTGTCAGCCACTCTGAGACTACTTTGGGTAGTGAAGGGTGGGGTATGAGTCCAATCTCTTCTTCAAGAGCAGTTCTCAGAGATCTCTCTCAGCCCCGCCTACCTCACAGGGCGTCTGTTGTGGGGAGGGGAAGGGAAAGGAGACTGTAAGCCACTCTGAGACTCAGAGTGAAGGGCAGGGTATAAATCCAATATCCTCCTCCTCCTCCTCCTCCTCTTTTTCTTCTTTTCCTTTCCTCAGTGAATGAGGCACATGTGCAGCAGCGTCTCCAAGGTTGATGTTTGGGTCTGTTGCTAGGGTTGCCAGTTCTGGAATGGGGAAGACCTGGAGATTTCGGGGGTCGAGGCTGAGGAGGCTGGGGCTTGGGGAGGGGAGATACTTCAGTGGGGCCTAACCCCATAGAGTCAACCTTCCAGAGCGTCCATTTTCTCTAGGTGGAACTGATCTTTATCACCGGGAGATCAGTTGTAATAGTGGGAGATCTCCAGCCCCCACCTGGAGTTTGGCAACCCTAGTCAGCTCAACCATAGATGTGGCATCCTCTTAACAGCCAGTGATCGACAGATGACACAAGGAGCTTCATGGGAAAGGTGCGGTGGCAATTTAATTCTTAGCTTCTAAAAATCTCAGTGACAGAGACCTTTGTTATTTATTCATGTAAACAGTGTTCCCTCTAAGCTGAGTTAGTGTGAACTAGCTCACAGTTTTTTAGCCTCCGGCTCACACAGTTTGGTCTAAGCTCAGGAAGGAGGGCTCCAGAGCAAACTAATTGATGCAGCAGCCAAATCGCTTGCCCGCAACTTTAATGCCGGTAGCTCACCAAGTAGAATTTTTGCTCACCAGACTCCACAGCTTAGAGGGAACATTGTTTACGAGGTTTGTATCCTGCCTTTTGTATCCTGGGCTGCGGTGGCTCAAGTGGTTAAGACGCCGAACTGCAGACCGGAAGGTCTGTCCGAGACCCGAGCAATGCTCCCTCTAAGCTGTGGAGTCTTGTGAGCAAAAATTCCACTTAGTGAGCTGCCGGTGTTAAAGTTGTGAGCGAGCGATTTGGCTACTACATATGTCAGTTTGCTCTGGAGCCCTCCTTCCTGAGCAAAGACAAAAACGTGTGAGCCGGAGGCTAAAAAAACTGTGAGCTAGCTCACACTAACTCAGCTTAGAGGGAACACTGGACCCGAGTGCCGCGTGAGGGAGTGAGCTCCCATCTCTGGCCCCAGCTCCCGCCAACCTAGCAGTTGGAAAGCAAGACGTTGCAAGTCGATAAATAGGTACCCCTTCAGTGGGAAGGTAACAGCGTTCCATGCGCCTCGGCGTCTAGTCATGCCGGCCACATGACCACAGAAACGTCTCTGGACAGCGCTGGCTCTTCAGCTTGGAAACGGAGACAAGCGCCGCATCCCTAGAGTCAGATTCGACTGGCTTTCGAGCATGGGAAACCTTTACCCTTTACCTATCCTGCCTGTTATGTATTAAGTTCTGTGATGAGCTTGAGTTCTGGACAGGATTGTAAGTCCACCAATCAGAGCAGCACAATGTTATGGAAGGGAAGCACTCTGATTGGACCTTATCTGTAAATAGTGATTGGTTGTTACATGACATGTGGACGTGGCTACCAAAGCCCGTTGCTCCATTTTTTTGTCTCATTCTTGATTTCTTCTGACTTTGTTATTAAAAGCTGATTCACTGTTCACAAGCTGCGTTGAGTCTCGTATTCAACACTGCCTTTGTGCCTTTCCCAGGGCCACCAACACAGTTAATAATTTAAAACATACCCCTCCCCGGGGGGGAATCACATTTTAAAACCGTTAGAGTCAACACACACACCCTTTGAACACACATCATTAAAACAATTAAAGTGCATATAAACTGTAAAAACTGCAATTAAAACGTTGGTTAGGAAGGAGCGACCGTCGAGGGAATGCCAAACGAAACGAAACAGTCTTCACCCGCTGGTGGAAGACGGCAAGAGAAGGGGGCAGATGAGTCTCCCTGGGGAGAAAGTTCCAGAACTTTGGTGTCATGGGAAAGTGGGGGGAGCGTTTTCGGCTGTTCTAGCTGATTGATCGGTGTGCACTTCTTCAGTGATTCACGAAATCCCCCTCCCCTGCCACATGTTTTGTTAGTCTTTAGTGCAGGGGTGTCAAACATGCGGCCCAGGGGCCAGACTAGGCCCCCGGAGGGCTTCTTTCAGGCCCGCAGTGGAACTGGCTGTCTTTTGCTTCTTTTTCCAGTTCTGCTGCTGCTGCTGCTGCATCATCGTAGGTTTGCAGCTTACAGATACACACCTGAACAGCGTACTCAAGATTGCAACAGCACAGACATTTTGGTGCGATAATTCAGAGCAAGAGGTGTCAGTTATCAGACACTGTTAAATAAGCAAAATATTGCAAGAGTGCTAATGTTTCAAGCATGTTTTTATTTGAAATAAAAGAAAACCCCTTTGTGTTTGTGTCCTTTATATCTCTGCTACCTGGCATTGCATTTTATGACACGCACAGCCCGGCCTGACAAGGTCTCATTTATGTCAGATCCGTCCCTCATAACAAATGAGTTCGACACCCCTGCTTTAGGGTGTTACTGGATTCCTGCTCTTTTCTACCGGCCATCCTGATGTTTTGACTAGCCGTTTCAGCGGTTTTATTCTCTCTCTTCCAAATTTCACTGTGTGTATCTTCTGCAGGAATCGATAGCCGCTACAATGAAGGCTGCCGGGAACTGGCGAACTATCTTCTCTTTGGCTTCTATAACCAGAACAACAATGAGTTTGAAAAGTCGGGGTTTCCTGAAGAAGTCTTGGACGGTGAGTTTGTTACTGTGCGCAGTTCTGAATCAATGTTCTGTTTCAGTACTTTCTTTGAATTTCTCACTGTGTACCCGAAGCAGGCTATGTAGTGTCCCGCGCAGGGTGATTCTCTGTAACGTCCATGTGGAACCCAGTGGCAATCTTTTTCACTTGGATTCCACAAGCATTATTATTATTATTTGCTGCCAAATCATAGCTGAATTAGTACAACCCCATGTGGTTTTCAAGATGAGAGCCATTCAGAGGTGGTTTGCCAGTCTGGTGTCGTGGTTAGGAGAGTGGACTCTAATCTGGAAGAACTGGGTTTGATTCCCCACTCCTCCACATGCAGCTGCTGGCGTGACCTTGGGTCAGTTATAAGTTCTTTCAGAGCTGTTCTGTCGCAGGCAGTTCTCGAAAGAGCTCTCTCAGCCCCACCTACCTCCCAGGGTCGTCTGTTGTGGGGTGTGCTGGCTCAGCTGGTTCCCACGGTTGCCTACACACTGGAAACAGGAAGCGCAGTCCAGAATCAGGTTAAACAACAGGGCCAAAGGTCGGATAGCTGGGGAATCAAGGTTGCAGGAGTCAGGAACAAGGAGCGGTTGCTACACACCAGAAGCAGATCTGAGCATGTGACTTTGTCATGTGATGATATACACCTTTTGCATGGGGTTTTGCCCTGCCCCTCTTTGGGGAAAGCAGCTTTTCAAAAGCTCCAGGGGCAAAATGTCCCTGTCTGTCTGTCTGTCTCTGTGTCTGTCTGTCTGTCTCTCTCTCTCTCTCTCTCTCTTTCACACACACACACAGATTTGTATTGTGAAGACCAGCATGTTAATATTTTAGAACAAAAGAGACATGTAAAATCAAAGCGAAGTCACTGTCACTTTGGATTGGCTGCCCTTCTCTGCAATTCTGATCTCTTGCTGGGTTTTTTTGTAGATGTGATCCTCTTAATAAAGCCAGACAGCGTCCACCTGTACTGCAACCCCGTCAACTACAGCTACCTGTTGCCCTACGTGGCCGTTTGGAGAAACTTGCATTTCCATTGCCTGACTGAAAACGAGGTGAGTGAAGGCGCAGCTGATGGGATGCATCTCAGAAAATGATTCGGGGCTGGAACAGTTCTGGTTTCCTGTGAAGGATCTGGCCATTGGGAATGGATGTGTCTGGTGCTGTTATCATAAGAATGTAAGAACATCAGAGAAGCCCTGCTGGATTTGACTGGTGGTTCATCTAGTCCAGACTCCCGTCTCACACAGTGGCCAACTAGTTCCTCTGGAGGGCCAAGGACAGGGCAGAGAGGCCGAGGCCTTCCCCTGATAAGAACCTTGGAAGAGCCCTGCTGGGTCAGACCAGTGAGGGTCCATCTAGTCCAGCATCCTGTCTCACACAGGGGCCAGCCAGTTCCTCTGGAGGGCCAACAACAGGGCAGGGAGGCCGAGGCCTTTCCCTGATAAGAACCTCGGAA